TCTCCATGGTGTCCCCAATGTCCCTGACGTCCCCAGTGTTCCTGTGGTGTCCCCAATGTCCCCGATGTTCCCGATGCCCCCAGGTACCACATCTACAACGTGGACGAGGAGAACCCCGGCTTCGCGGAGCCGCGCGCGGTTTTCTACACGGCGCAGATCCTGCTGGGGCTGGAGCACCTCCACCAGCACCGCATCGTCTACCGCGACCTCAAACCCGAGAACGTCCTGCTGGACGATGCCGGTGGGGACAAGGGAACGCTGGGGGGGACATGGGGACAGTGGGGACATTGGGAACATTGGGAGGATAAAGGGACACTGGGGACATTGAGAACATTGGAGATGTTGGAGATGTTGGGGACATTGGGAACATTGAGGACATTTATACCATTGGAGATGTTGGAGACAATGGACATTGGGGACATTGGGGACATTTGGACATTAGGGACATTGGGGACATCGGGATATTGGAGATGTTGAAGATGTTGGGGACACTGGGGGGACATCAGGGACATTGGGGACATTGGAGATGGGGACACTGGGGACATTGGGATATTGGAGATGTTGGGACATTTAGACATTGGGGACATTGGAGATGTTGGGGACATTCGGATATTGGGGACATTAGGGACAGTTGGACATTGAGGACGTTGGGGTATTGCAGATGTTGGGGACATTGGAGATGTTGGGGATGTTGGGACATTTGGGACATTGGGGGATGTGGGAAATGAGGGGGACATGGGGACATTGGTGGTCACTGGTGGTCACTGGTGGTCACTGTTGGTCACTGTTGGTCACCGGTGGTCACTGTTGGTCACTGGTGGTCATTGGTGGTCACTGTTGGTCACCGGTGGTCATTGGTGGTCTTTGGTGGTCACCAGTGGTCACTGGTGGTCATTGGTGGTCACTGCTGGTCATTGGTGGTCATTGGTGGTCACTGGTGGTCACCGCTGGTCATTGGTGGTCACCAGTGGTCACTGGTGGTCACTGGTGGTCCCCGGTGGTCACTGTTGATCACTGGTGCCCAGGCCACGTCCGTCTGTCTGACATGGGCTTGGCCGTGGAGCTCAAGGATGGAGAGAGCAAAACCCGCGGCTACGCCGGGACCCCAGGTGGGGACAGGGGACACCGGGGACACTGGGGGGACACTGGGGGACACTGGGGGGACACTGGGGACACTGGGGACACTGGTGGGACAGGGGGGACATTGGGGAGAACCTTCGGTACAGTGAGGACATGGGAAGCCCCTTCAGATACCTGTGTCACCTCTGGTCCCTCCTGTGTCACCTCTGGTCCCCCCTGTGTCCCCCCTGTGTCACCTGGGCCCCTCGGTGTCCCCTCGACATCCCTGTCCCCTTGGTGTCCCCTGTCCCGCCTCGATGTCCCCTTGATGTCCCCTCGGTGTCCCCGCAGGGTTCATGGCCCCCGAGCTGCTGAAGAACGAGGACTACGATTGGTCGGTCGATTACTTCACTCTGGGGGTGACGGTCTACGAGATGTTGGAGGCCAAAGGCCCCTTCCGCCGGCGGGGGGAGAAGGTGACCCCACCCCCAGAGCCCCCCAGTACAGACCAGTACAGACCAGTACAGACCAGTACAGCCCAGGAACCACAGGAACCCCCAGGAACCTCTGAGGGATTCCAAAAACCTCCCAGAAACTCCCAAGGGCCACCAGAAACTGCCCAAAATTCAGCTCAGGGCCCCCAGAAACCTCACAGGACCTTCAGAAACCCCCAAGAACCTCCAAGAACTCCCTGAGGACCTTCAAAACCCCCCAGAAACTTCCAAGAAATCCCCCAGGTCCCTCAGAAGCTCCAAAATTTCCAATAAATCCCCCAAAGATCCTCCCAAGATCCTTAGAAAAGCCCTCAAAGCCTCCAAGAAACCCCCAGATCCTTCAGAAACCCCCCAAAACCTCCAAGAACCCCCCGAGGACCTTTAGAAACCCCCTAAAACCTCCAAGAACCCCCCAAACCCCCAAGAACCCCACAAGAATCTCCAAGAAACCCCCCAAGAACCAACCAAGGAGTATCAGAAACCCCCAAAACCCGCAAGAACCCCA